TTTTCGGATGAGTTTAACAAAACGGTTAATTTTAACAATGTTGATTGCTCTTTCAGTTTAACTTTTTTCAGGGGTTAATAAATATCTAATTAGAAAAATATATACTATATTAAATAATGGCGAGTGAAGAGGTTAATGAGGTTGAAAATGAAGAAGCGCCTGAAATAACAACTATTGAGAAGAATGAAGAAGAACCGAAAGAAGAACCTAAGGAAGAACAGAAAGAGGAACCAAAGGAAGAACCGAAACAGGAAGCTACAACTGAACCAGTTAATAATGAAGTAGAAGAAGAAGCCAAGCCAAAAGCAAAAGCAAAAGCAACACCAAAGAAACTAGCTAGAACTGTTAAGGTGGTGGAGCTGGTTGAGTGCGAAGCCTGTAATAAAAAGATGCTACCAAAAAGTTTAAGGAACACTCACCCTTATTATTGTAAGGGTAAACCGAGAGAAACATTACCAGTTAATAAGCAGAAGGCAAGTTATGGTTCAAAGGTTGAACAAAAACTAAGAAAAGAAATTGAAGATGAAATGAAGAAGAAATATGAAACTAAAAACGAAGTAGTTAATTATTCCGAACACGAAGTTGCGAATGCTCGCGAGGCTCAACCGAGCGTCAAAACAAAAGAAAGTGTGCCAAGTGTGCCAAGTGTGCCAGTTAGAATGAATGACACACCGCCACTTAAACAACTATCAGCGACAGAGCTTTTACAACAGCATTACAATGAAATTAAGAAAGCTAAGCAACAAGCACATATTGAAAAAATAAACAGATTTAAAAGTAGTATGTTTTAACTACATATTAATATTAATTTTATCTAAATAATATTAATAATCATGATGTTTAAGAGCAAAGCAGAGTTCAAAAGAGCCCCCCAAGTCAGCAGGTATTACGATGTAGACGACACATTCGGTGTGTCGTCAAGGCGTAAACAATTAGAAGATATGAAGTTGAGAGTTGAAGAAGCAGAGAACAGAGAGAAAAATATTAGGTTAAGAAATGACTGGGTGGAACATCAGAAAAAAGCACTTTATCAAGGAGAACTAGATAGTATTAATAGGCAATTGGAGAGACCAATGATGCCCGTTAGAACAAAGGAAGAACTAGAAAAGCGACAATCTGACCTAAAAAATATTATAGCAAATATAATCTA